GTGGACAGGGGTCAGCTGCTGCCCCGCCCTCTCTGGCCCGGGAGCCGCCCCCTTGGGGCTCCTCCCAGCTAAGCGGGAAGACTGATCCCGCCCAGGTCAGAGAGTGGGAAGGAGGTGTCTCCATCAGCTGTCGGGTCCTGCCCACACCCCTGCCCCCAGGGGCTGGTCCAAGAGGAAGACAAATTAGCTGCAGCAGCAGAAGACAAAAGCTAACGGTGACAGTGCACCCTCTAAACAGGAAATCCAAGCTTCAGGAACAGTACTCAGGGCCACCTCGAGTCCCTGAGGTCTATATAAGAGTCAGAGCTATCTGTCACCCCAGCCAAAGAGCAAACTTCTCTTGAAACAAAGAACTAGACCAGCATGGTTTCATCTATGAGTAGTTTTAACACTACCCACTTCACGTGTGTGCTCTATGCAAGAAAATCTCAGAATCTGTACCACAGAGAGGCTGTTTCTAAGTGGATTCAGACTCGTGGTTCTAAGGGGGAACCATTCGGCAAGAGTACTTCAAGGCAAAATAACAGCCTAAGAATCCGAAAATGATAGAGTATGAAACAAATCTCACGAAGCTGGGGCGTTCTTCCTGCACACGAATCTGGACGGGACGTTTTCTGCTGTGGAACACTACCTGGGCTCATGCAGGGAGATTGGTGATCAGAAAATATTGTCGAATAGGGCCAAGAAAATGGATTAGTTTTGGGGGGGGTTGTTTTTTTTTTTAATAAATCGATTGTACTCAAAACTAGCAATTAAAAAATACAAATCAAGGTAGGGGAGTATGCCCTCCCCATAGATAAACCAGGGTTGCTTATTTTCAAACATTGCGACAAGGGGTGCTTCTGTCACTAGTTTCTGACTCTGGATAGGTCACATAGCTTCTTGAGACCCCAATTCCTCATCTTCAAAATGAAACCAGGTTTTTCTCTAGAGTGGTATCTAGCCTTGACCTTTAATGACTTTATGACTGCCAGAGGCTCTAAAACTAATAATGGACCCATAACACACACAAAAAGAGCTTTCTGGTCAGGATATCATAAAAACTGATGTTATTAAGACAAAATCCTTGTCAGACCCAGACAAAATTAGAGCCAGACAGTATTATTGGGGGAGGGTGTGTTCATGCCTATCTGAGGTAAATAACTTTTGGGCTCTCAAGATCTGTTTGTTCTAAAAGACCATCATGCTTTGCATGCCTCTCGAAGTGGAGGGGGAAAAATTATCCTTAACATTAAGATTGCAGCAGTCCAAATAAATGTCCTGCAGAACATTTTTCCTAGCAATCCTACCTGCTATACAAGGGAAGTCATCTCAACTCCCTCCTCCCACCTCCCAAACCTAGAGTCTTGACATCCAAGAAACTTATGTAAATCCTTCCCTTTTTGACTTTAGAATTGTATCCTTGCCTCAAACCTTCTT